CCATGATGAACATGTATACACCTTAGGAAAAACCATTGTTATACATGGGAAATCATTTCTTGGCAACAGCGCATCGGCTCGTCTACTTTCATCGCTATTCGTACATATTTCCTACCGTTAACGCGCGTGCCGTTGTCAAGTGCGATAAGGGATTCATGACTCACTCTGCGTTTGGGTTTTGTGTAGGAAAGCTGCGTCTTTATTTAATCCAAAATATCTTAAAAATGTACTCGCAAGAAGAAAAGTTTCAAATGATAGAATGGTACATCCAGAATAATTCAGCACGCGCGGTTGTTGAATTATTTGCGGTACGCTTCCCAGATCGGCCAATTCCGTCTCACGCAACGGTTATAAATACCTACGAAAAATTCAAGAGGGTGGGCTGCTTACATAAGTACCATAGCTGCATGCACCCTGAAGGTTGGAAACCAAAAATTAGCGAGAAAAGGGAGGAGATCGAAACTGCTGTTTGTGCCGCTGCAGAAGTATCTGAGTCATGCTCAAGCAGAAAAATTGCTGAAATGGTAACAATAGCCGATCTCACACCCAGAACAACAAGAAATATTTTGCATCGCAACGGCTATCATAGCTTCAAGGTTGGAACGGTTCAAGAAATATTTCCTTTAGACAAATACCGTCGAATGGAGTTTTGTGAAACGGTCATGGAGAAGGCGAACAGGGATGGAAGTTTTATTGGTAACATTTTGTTTACTGATGAATCCACATTCCCTCTCCACGGTCATCACAATCCTTCAGTCGTTCGGTATTGGTCTCGGGAAAATATACGCCTCAGTATTCCCGTCCGCACGCAGTATCCACAGAAACTGAATGTGTGGGCAGGAATTCTAGGTAATAACATTATCGGGCCGTTCTTTATTGATGGAACTCTTACGGCTGCAAAATATTTGGCGTTACTACAGACGCAGATTGTTCCTGCAATTAGGCAGCTTGGCATTGATCTCGCTAATATTTGGTTCCAACAAGATGGATGCCCGGCGCATAATGCGGCGATCGTACACACTTACCTTGAAAGTGTGTTCGGCCACCGGATTATTCTCGGTAACGGAACAATAAAATGGCCTCCTAGATCACCCCATCTAGCGCCCAATGATTTTTTCTTGTGGGGTTATGTGAAAAGTACTGTTTACACTTTCAATGAGAGAGCAGACAATTTGCATAACCTACAGGTGAAAATCGTTGAAGCGCTCGGGCAAATACAGCCTTCTACCCTCTTGAGAGTTCGTCAGGAGCTTTATAACCGCCTGACATACTGTTCATTGAATGAAGGAGACGTTTTTGAGCCCCAGCTGTGAAGGACCATTTGAAACATTTGTGTTCATTATTGCGTTTTATTTTTGAGAACTTATTTTTTTGTTAGAATATCTTTTTATTTTCGTTACACATTTTTAAGAGTGTACTATTTTTTGTTATAGTGGGTATCTTCTTATTTTTGTTATGAGACGCAACCTTTATTGCTACAAAACCAATTATCCATTCATAAAAATAAGTAGAGTGACTTAGGTGATTTCGTGAAATCTCGAAATCACCGAAATCGGTTCACAGGACGTCCAATCGAACTGGTGCGTAATGCGTGCATCTACTGTACTTCTTCTATCGACTCAACGCATACTGAAATTTGCAGCTGACTGCAGACCTGTATCACGAATGAGAATAATAGGCAGATACGCTGTATTGCCAATTTGAGTAGAGCTTCCCGAATTGGGGGGAATTTAGAGTTAATTGTTGATTCATTCAAGCTTTTAATCAGCATGGCCTAGACGTTAGAACTTCATAAAGATAACATTGAAGCTGAATGCTGCTGGAGTATAGTGTTTCGAATATTCAAAGCGGAGCGGGACACTATCCTCGTTCAATGGGTCATCAAGCCACGGTCTTTTCAACAAAGAAATTATTTTACGAAAATGCGTTATATTTTTATGATTTTGTCGTCACCAAATCTCTGTTTCTCAAAATGTACGTCTATTGTAGAATTTTCAGCAAACTAAGCAAGAAACGTGATCTAGTATTTACTCAACATTACGGATTTCTCGAAATACATTAAAAAATGTGACCTAGATACCTAACTGTCCCAAGCTCTTTAAATATAACACCTTAAACCAGGGTTACCAGGTGCTCAGTCACGTTGATTGTCATGTTGTACTGCGCAAGTCAGCAAACAATCTGGCGTAATAAACGTTAGGAATCATCAGGCATTGCCAGATTCCCGAATACCGGGCACCATAGTACCCGTTATAGTTGTCCTTCAAAGTTGTCAAATCGCCCCTATGGCGCAAATTCGCCACACCAGGCAACTGTGCTATAAACAAAGCCTATTTATCACTACTATTTGATAGTCATATGGTAGTTGTAGCCCTACCTAGCGGTCCATGATTTCTCTCAATACTGTTGTATCTCTACTGGCAACAAGAATAGGGATTACAAAATCATTTATACAACAATATACAAACATGAAAAATATGATTTGAACCATGAAACATTAATACAATTTTAATAGTTTGAACTTTTTTCATTTTTGGAATACTCTTATGTGGAATCCGCAGCTATTTTTCCCGAAATTTGGGTAGACTTAGATTTCTTAGAAATATGAAATATTGGTATCGGCAACTCTGCGAATGGGAGAAACAAATCGCATTTGTTGAGCGCATCCGTCTAAGCGGCAGGCGCCAGCGCCCGTTCTGCCATCTCTCTTTTATCACTCTTCTACTTTACCCCGTTGTCCGTCACACTCCGACGCTACCAGATAGGATCCTACAATCGAGTGTCTTTCACGCACCTACATACTTTTGTATATTTCCATCTCTTCCTGATCATAATGTATAATAATGTTTTTTCCCAAGGTGTATAGAAAACAATATCTGATTTTCTAAATTTTTGCGATTACGATACAGTAATGACCGCTTATAACGAACCTCAAGGGACCGACGAAACTGCTTCGCTATAAGCGAAGTTCGTACTAAACGATAAATAATGCTAATACCAGAAAATATTTTTCATTAGTTTATTATTCAACCAGTGGTATATAAAATGTTTGCAATAGTATACAGGGTTATCCAAATTAAGTGTCCACCATTAGTAACTTTGTTATTAGTGAAAATACAAAGTTGTTTGAATTAGCAAACTAGTAGCATTTTTAACGCTGGTCAAAATGAGAAATAAAAAAAAACAATTGAGAGTCGTTATTTTGATTTTTTTCAGTAAAATAACATTTTTTTAAATGGAAACCCCTGTATATTATATTTTTTTCTGTTAAAGCATCAAATTTTAAACAAAAAAGCTTACAATAACTTTTCTCCTAGGTTACAAATTGTTGAAGTTATGGCCTCCAATCTGAAACAATTAAATTGTATCGACAAACTTTATTTTCAACATCAACTTATAATCTAACAAAATACAATAACAATTTTTTTTAAAGAAGATGCTCGAAAACACCACCTTGTTCTTCAATACATTTTTGGGCACGTTTTTCAACTGCTCGAACTGTCTTAAGTATGGTCCTACCATCTATCTGGGTTATCTTTTCCCTAACTGCAGTCTTTAACGCGTCAAGGTTATCGTACCTTCGCTTGTAAATTTGGTTTTTTAAGTAACCCCACAAGAAGTAATCAAGTGGATTTAGATCTGGTGATCTGGGAGGCCACTGTATTGGGCCATTTGTTCCTATCCACTGATCATTAAAAGTAGTACTTAGAAAATGATAAGTACCTCTGGAGTTGTGGGCAGGTGCGCCATCTTGCTGAAAATGCAGATGATGTCTACTTATAAGATCCAATTCGTCTAAGAAATTAGTCAGAATTTCTGACATAAATTCCACATATCTTTCACCAGTTAGGGTTCCCTCATAAAAGAACGGGCCAACAATTTTTGAACCAATTATACCGCACCAAACGTTGAAACTGAAACGGACTTGTGGGCCTCTTGGATGTACTACAAAAGATTTTCTCTTGACCAATAATGGTGGTTTTTTCTATTAAACATTCCAGAACTTGAAAAATTTGATTCATCTGTCCATAAAAGGTAACGAAAGTTATTTACATTTTGGCGACAGAAGCTAAGATACCAATGGCAAAAAACAAGTCTTCTCCCTGGATCCCCTGCCAAAAGCATTTGAACTGGTCGGTACTTATACGGAATAAATTTGTATTTTTTTAAAATCCTTTGAACAGTACCATAACTGAAATTAGAGTCCTTGAGAATATCTGCTATTGATTTCTCACGATAATCTTCAAACTATCCAATAACTGCAATTTCCGTGGCCTCGCTTATTATGAATTCTTTTTTTGCCCTTGTTTTAGCAAAAACATTTTCGTTGCCCCTAAATTTTCGATAAAGTCTCAGAAAATATCGTTCATACGGTTGAATGCGAGCGGGATATAATTCACTGCTCTTGCTCTCAAGGAGGATTTTCTGCACACTAAATAGCATTCTAACATATCACACTTTTCTTCATGGGAGAACATTTTTCTTTAAATTAATGACACAATAAAGCTTATAAACAAGTATTTACACTAATGTTTGACATTATTTGATTTTATCATTGTTTTCCAAAGCCTTCTAGTTGCGAGTATGTCCAGTTTAACAATTTGTCGCTTATCTTAATGCTGTCAAATCGCGAACGCCATGTTGTTTTCATAGCCGTCTTAATATTATAATACTGCAAATAATTAAAAATATTTATCGTTATTTTGACTTTATTTTTGACTTTAGCGGAAAAGTCATTATGAACTTTTTTGTTTAAAATCTGATGCTTTAACAGAAAAAAATATAATATACAGGGGTTTCCATTTAAAAAAATGTCATTTTACTGAAAAAAATCAAAATAACGACTCTCAATTGTTTTTTTTTATTTCTCATTTTTACCAGCGTTAAAAATGCTACTAGTTTGCTAATTCAAACAACTTTGTATTTTCACTAATAACAAAGTTACTAATGGTGGACACTTAATTTGGATAACCCTGTATAATAATATCTGTAATCCACATTCATAAAAGTTTTTGAAAATCTTTCTTAAAAAAATCATTTATTTTAATTTGGTTTATTTTTGTGAAATGAATACAATTAATATGTAATTCCACTTCAGATAGTCGATCTAGCACACGCTGCGGAGTATTTTGTGACTGTAGGAAATGACGAACGCTGTCAATATGTCGAAGTGCTTCTGATGTGGTTGGAGTTGGTATCAGTTCCATACCGACAGATTCTTCATCTTTATTTTCCTTTTCTTCGTCACTCATTGAAATCGTTTTCACTATAAGGAAGATTGGCTCTAATATTGTCTGGAAGATCGTCTTCCTGTTGAATTTTCTACATCCACTCAACTAATGGCAGGTCATCGTCGGGATCAAAATGACCCTCAACCTCCAAGAAACCCCCATGCGTAAAACAATTTGAAATTGTTTCTTTTGTTACCTTCTGCCATGCCATATGAATAATGTTTATTGCATCCAAAAGATTGATTGTTAAATTTTCCCCGCCACTATCAATAAAACATTCTCGAGAGAAGAACTTCGCGATAACGGCTTTTTAAACTATGGATTAAACACTGATCCATAGGCTGCAGTTTAGAACTCGTGTTTGAGTCCAAATTTTTAACATCTGGTTGAGCTGGACAATTGTCCGCTAATAATATAACTTTTCGTTTTTCGCGGCGTAACTCAACATCCCAATTACGCAGTTCAGCATCAAAAATCTCTGAGGTCATCCATGTTCTTCTATTGGATTTGTAATAAACTGGCAACTGTGAAACGTTTTTAAAACATCGAGGGTTTCTCAATCTTCCAATTACAATAGCTTTCTTTTTTCTGTCCCTGTTAGATTTAATAATAATAATAATAATAAAGTGTCTTTATTGGCAACCTTCCATATTATGGCGAAGTTTAGCTTGATTGCTACTCTTCCACTTAACCATAATATGGACAAAACATCAAAAATTTATACAAGGAACATAATACATACAATATAAACAATTACAGAACAATGACGAGATTATACCATTTGCTAGCCAAGCATGCCAGAAAGCAAATATCGACATGAACATTAGAAGTCAACCAAATTGAAAATATTCGTTTAACAAAATCCCAAAAATAAAAATAAAATAAATTAACAACTCAGACATTGAGAGATGATTGTATCTCTAATAGCTGTTTTCTAACTGATTTTTTAAAAGAGAGTAAACTTTCTTGTTTGTTAGCCGCACTGACTGAATTGTAAAGCTGAACGGCATTATACGTGAAAGACCTCTGATATAATGAGGTGTAGTGAAGAGGAATATTCATGACGTAACATTCTTGAAATTAAATTCCTACGTGGAACTAACTTATTTACAAGGTAAATAGGTCTCTTGGTAAAGACTGTTTTACGTACAAAAACCAACATATGAAACTTGAAAAGATTATTGAGCTTCAGCCACCCCAGCTCACAGATCTTGGATGTAACATGGCTGTACCTACGAAGGCCGAAAACAAAACGAGAACAACAATTTTGAATTTTCTGCAATCTGGTTTTTGTTATGGAGTCAAGACAAGGATAAAACAGTATAAAACAGTAAAGCAGCTTAGACATAACTATTATTATAATTTGTCACTACAAGCACAGTGATTCTTTTTTTAGATAGCCTCCCACCCTCACACTTCTCGCCTTTGAATCTCAAGGTCCTGTCAGGTGTAAGCTTAAAGAATAACCCAGTTTGTATTGAATATGTCCTCGTCTTTGAAGTTCCTTCTAATGATTGGCCACTTGTTCCGCAACCAGTGATTCACACAGTCCATATCAACTGCAGCAGACTCTCCAACAATTTTTCCACTGGTAACGTCATGTCGTCTTTTGAATCTTTCGATTCAGCTTCTACTAAATTCAGGTTCTTCACTCAGTTCTTCATATTTCAATATCTTCTTCCCAAGGTCTTCACCCTTCGATTGCAGTACTGGTTACTTTTTTATTTCTCTGTTGAGAAAACCATTTCAGAAGTCCCTGATCAACTTTATAATTCGCGAGCTTTTTAATTTTCTTCACATTTATGTTTTGGCCTTTCTCAAACATTTCCAGTATTTTGTCTTTATTCTTCCAAATTGTACCAACCTGTAATTAAAATGAAAAATTGTAAATCAAATTCATATCTAAGAGTGCTTATTTATGTATGTTTAGGACATGTTATTCTGCAGTACTCACCATTGTTTTATTTAATCCCACTTCAAAACAAACTTCACTTCGCTTCACACATCCTTGCAATCTTTTGACGATATCGTATTTACTATTTAAAGTAAGAGCTTTACGTGTTTTCTTAGAAATTGCGTCACCCATGATTTCAAGAGTGCAGGACACTGGATACAACGAATAAAGAAGGTATCAGACTAAATAGCGGAGACGATTGCTCATACCCCACCATGCGGTCGGAAGATTCCGGTTACCTGATTCTGGTAAAATCCAGTTTTACGCTGGTTATAACCGAAAAATTTGACGAATATATCAAACATTTAGGTTCGTTTTATCAGGCGGTTCGTAATAATCAATTCAGTCGGTACCTTATCAATTAGTTCGTTTTAAACGGAAGTTCGCAATAAACGGGTTGTTATAAGCGGACATGACTGTACTTCCTTTGCCAGCAACGTGGGAAGTAAAAAATATCGGAAAAAACTTGACGAGACTAAGGCGGACATAAAAACAATACAAACCGAACAGTAAGGTCGGCCGTGCTTTTCTGTGGCTACAAAAGCTGTCCTCTTTTAAAAAAAAAGTTGAAATCACGATTCTGAAATTCCATTCCAGCGTGACTTTTGACTTCTATTCACACCACACTACGGTGGTCTTGATTCCCGAATACATACCTCAGAAAGCCCAACTCAATCACTTAGCAGTGCACTTTTTCGGTACGCCTCTGTTTCATTAAATATACTCTTGGTCCCACTAGGAAGCACAAAGGCTGACGTGCGCCTTGTCGATGATCCGTCTGAACAGCCAACGTGATCGTTGACATCACGAACGTCATTATCCTATTAAGGGAATTACTGGAAGCATTGACCTGCGACATTTTCCATTCGAATTGGCGCTCCGACTTTTTCCGGGATTCCTTAGACTTCATCCACGTTACGCACGTGTCTGGCAAAGTGGTTCAGTGAACCACAGGATCCGAATCGTGTTGATGAGTCCTAATGAGGACGAAACAATCGCCGTATACAAGGATTGCAAGGACTAAAACAGCCATAGAGATGAGAAGATTAATTCATGATCCAACAGTGACTTTGGCCCCGTGTCGCCACAATCTTTAATCCACTATTAAAAGGTAATCGGAGATTTTATCGTGGTAATTTGTATGAACGCTTTCCACCACACTTTAATTCGGGATTAAAAGCAATAATTGAAGTTAGTCAGCCATTTTGGCCGAATATATACTAAGTGACATATAAATCCGAACACAAAGTTTAAATGGTTTTATTTTAATAAAAGTTGGTGAATGTATTTATCTTACTGTAAATAACAAGTGAAAAAATTTTCAGCCTTATCAGTTGGAAATTCCGGTTTTTATACTGCTTTTTTTTAATTCACTAATGCTCTAAAAATGAATATTTCAGCCGCAGTAAAGAATCAACGTTGGCGGATTTTGGTTCTTGACATCCTTTACGATCGGTTACGAGGCCTAGAGTACGGAGACCTGTACGATTTCGTCAACTTAGTGAGTTTGATAGGTGCCGTATAGTGGGACTTCGGGAAGCTGGACTTTCTTTTCGGGCAATTGCAGTTAGAGTGCAAAGAAGTGTAGACACTGTGGTTAGGTGTTGTCAGGCATGGCTTCGAGAAGGCCGTACGCAAAGAGCAAGGGGCCCTGGACGCCGCCGTAGAACAACAGACCGTGAAGATCGCCGCCTAATATTATTGACCTTAAGGGACCCTTTCTCCACTACCAGGTCCATTGCATATGAATGGTTTGCAGAACACGGAAGACCTATTGGCATGCGAAGTGTTTACCGACGAATGAGAAGTTTTGGCTTGTTTTCATACCGGCCACACTGGGTCCTCCCTTTAACTCGACAACACCGACGTAATCGCCTTGAGTGGTGCAGACAACGGTCATTCTTTGATCAGGAATGGAACAGTATTGTCTTTAGTGACGAGTCTCGATTTTGTTTAGGCATGCACGATGGTCGTGCCAGGGTTAGAAGGCGACGTGGTGAAAGGAGGAATCCACAGTTTTTTGTTGAAAGACATGTTGATCACACTGTTGGAGTTATGGTTTGGGGTGCTATAGCTTAATGTTCCAGGTCACCTTTAATCTTCATCAGAGGTAACATGAACGCGCAGCGTTATATCCACGAAGTTCTAGAACCCCATCTTTTACCCTATATTGACACCCTGGCAGATCCAACTTTCCAACAAGATAATGCCCGACCACATGTTGCAAGAGTCACAATAGACTTCTTTCAACATAATGATGTCAGATTGTTACCATGGCCACCAAGATCTCCCGACTTATCCCCAATTGAGCACGTGTGGGATATGATGGGTAGGAGATTGCTCAATTTGCAACGTCCTCCTCAGACTCTAGAAGCACTTCGAGAGTAGTTGGTGGTTGCCTGGAATGAGATACCACAGGAGGACATTGACCACCTGATCAGAAGCATGTCTAGGCGCGTTCGAGAATGCGTAGCACATCAGGGTGCATCCACACATTATTAATGGTCAAAGGGCTTTAAAGCAGTGCAATCATTTTGAAATTTTTACCATTTACTTATTATGCTTCATTAAGTACTTATACAAAATTTTATTAAAATAAAACCATTTAAACTGGGTGACAGTTGACATTGTATTTGGAAAAATCATCTTAAATATATACTAACGATTGCGTATTTTAATAGACAAGTGATATGTGTTTTATACTTATAGGATAGTGTTTTGGAAAAATTATTGTTTGTGTTTGAGCAAAATATTATTGGGGAGATTATATAATATGGCGTATCAAGACGAGAGTGAGAATCATTATTTTATCATTCGGTGCACACGATGGATTCGTGAACGAAAAGCTCTCTTTAACAATTTGGATGATGTAGACTTCCATGTGCGATTCAGATTGTCCAAGGTATGCTGGATTCTGTCATCAGCATCTCTTATCTTCATATTTCACATTTGGATCTCATTTTATTTTATATTTGGACGACTCGCAAATTTAAACATCTTTACACAAACGTCATATTAGTAATATGTGAAAAGTCAGATCATAATAACGATGGCCACCCAAAGACCGCACTGTCGGGCCTTGATGCATGGAGCCTAAATATTGCCTTCTTTTACGCTGTTGCCACGACATGTTTTGAACGTATCATTCATTGAAATGCCCCGATAATTTTTATCCCCGATTACACAAACCGAGATTTTCGTAAAACTGTGTCTATTGTTTTCATTTTTCTCTAACTCTCTTTGAAACCAGAATGCAGAATGTGGTAACTTTGAACATCCCTCAGTTCTTCTAAACAGAGGTTTTAAAATGTCCCATTAACATGATGCATGGTTGTGTAAATTCCTACGCCACTGATGAGGCTAAGTAAAGACAAAACATGAATATGGTTCAAACGACGCTATGGTCAAATAGGATTACTCTTCTAGAACATTACATGCAATCTTCTATGCCTAATTTCACTAAATTCAGCGTATTTTCAAAGTAGCACGCGTTGAATACGGATTTAACATCAAATATTTAAAAACATTTTTTTCAAAAAAGAGTAGTCAAACATTTCTCAAGAGATGCGAATCGTATATAATTGAATACCTTATTAAAAATGCATAATATGCTTCATAAAAGACGGTGGAGTACACAATAATAATAGTAATAAGTAATAAAAATTTTCACTTTTCTTCCTGATTTCTATGCCAGTAGTGTAGTTTCAGACACGAAACAATATTTTTATGTATTGGCTATGCTGTTAATACTACACGTACAAAATTTTAAGTCAACGTCTTAACACACTCCGAAGTCATAATTTTTGTTCTATATCAAAATTAAAACTTGAACTTCAACAACACTTTGGGACCCATGCTTAGAAGAACTTCTTCCAATTTTCCGAGTCATCAAGCACAGTTAGGTTGTGATATTAGCAGCGCCGTGGGCACCGGGCTTAACGTGTTGCAAGCTTCAACGAAGTTCAATGGTTTTTCCACTCAGCTGCTCAGCTCACTAGTCAAAAGCTCAAGATCGCATGAACGATTATTAATTTTTGTTGATAGTATAGCGAGATAATAACCAGCCGGATGCAATGGTAGCGACTAAAAGTGGCGAGCTCCAAGCAAGAGAATTCGAAACTAAATAACTATCTCGCTGAAAATATACCAGGTGTTTTAAATGTAACCCTCACTATTGCGATATCGGAAACCAAATTTTTCTAAAATCGTTTTAGATTTCTCCTGACTTGAAGTTTGTATAATTAGAATTTCAATATGACGTTTCGTCTCTTGTCCTCCAACATCACTTAATTTTTGTTGTAATGGACGCCCTATTGGATGTATAACGTGTCATATATTGACATTGCCAAACTTTACTTATTTAAAAAAAAAAACAGAATGTGCTAGGTAGGCCTTGAAATTATCAGATAGTCAGATTTACCACAAAATCATTTTTATTTTTTCCTGACTTGAATTGATGCTGGAAGTCGACGTCATATTGAAATTTTGATTATGCCATCTAGTAGAGAAGAAACATTGGGAATGTTAATCTACTACAACACTACAAATGAAGTCAGGAAAAAATAAAACGATTTTGGGAAAATTAGATTATTCCGTCTCTCTCAGGAATTTTGAAACTTTCTGAGCGGCATTCTGTTAGTTACTGAATACGCAATTCTGTCTCGATTTAAGTGACTGCGTTTGAGACAGTTAACCACAATATACTTTTGAAGATCTTAGAATTAATAGGTTTTCGTGGAAAGATGTATAATATAATGGAAAATTATTTATCAAATAGATCGTAATCAGTAAAATTATTAAACTCATATAGTAAAGAAATGTTTGTTAAATATGGTGTACCACAAGGTACAATTTTGGGTCCTCTGTTATTCGATATTTATTTACACGATATATTCAAAATTAATAGTACTGGTAAAATAGTCAGTTTTGCAGACGACACTGCTATACTCTATAAAGGAAAGGATTGGAGCGACTTAAAAGATGTTATCCAAAATGACTTTTGCAAAATTATTCAGTGGTTTAATAACCGAAAATTAACAATTAACTTTACTAAAACTCATTTTTTACCATTTTCATCACTGTCTAATCATTTACCAAAATATAAGCACCTTCGCTTTAAGGTAAATGATAAA